AACCTCAAGACAATCAGTGTAAGACGTCGAACAACGTGTCGAGCAACAAAACCTCCGACAAAGAGTCCGGATGGATCCGTCGGAGTCAGACGCAAGTAGTTGCTGAGACAGAAATATCCAGTGGTCCCAAGAAGCCCTGGAAGGTGCGGAAGTTGAAAGAAGTTCCTGCGCCTACAGTCAAAGCTGAAAGAGCTGCTACCAGTACTCAAAATGAACACCTCAAACCGTCCCCTTCTATCAACAAGGTCAAGAATACTCCGAAAACTTCGGTCCCCTCTCGTTTTTTGGACAAGTGCCGAACTGTTCCATCTCGCATTTGTAACAGCTTCATCAGCAATGTGAAATGCGCTGTAAGAATTGGTGGAAAGGCGCTGCTCGATTTCTGTGCGGCACTTCCAGCTGAATGCAAAACTGCAATTATCTCCGCGGTAACTTACGGCGCGCTTGCAGTTGGTGCATCAGGAGAGGCTGCCGAAGCTTTGGAAGATGTAAGAATCAGAATGCTGAATTTCTGTAATTCTCTTTTCGTAGGAAATAGAAAACAACTTGGAATTATTGATCACGTCTCCCTGGGGCCATGATGGTATTTTTTAATTCTTAGTTTGTAGAATTTTGTTTTTTTAGTGTTTACCGTTTCTTTAGTAGTACAGCTCCTTTTTTTAATCCAGTCGGAGTTTTTGATTTCCCTTTAGTCTTGGTCTTAACTCCTTCGTCCTGTAACGACGCAACTCTTAACAAAACTGGAATCCAAGGACTAACCGCAGGTGTACTTGTTTGTTTCTGAGGTACTGGTTTTGCTTCTAAGTTCGTTTTTCTCACGGGTGACTTGGATTCCTTTGCAAATGTTGCCTTTTTACTTGGAGTAGGCTTGGGCTCCTTGACAGATGCCATTTTACTTGGAGTGGGCTCCTTGACAGACGCTACCATTTTACTTGGAGTGGGCTCCTTGACAGACGCTACCATTTTACTTGGAGTGGGCTCCTTGACAGACGCTACCATTTTACTTGGAGTGGGCTCCTTGACAGACGCTACCATTTTACTTGGAGTGGGCTCCTTGACAGACGCTACCATTTTACTTGGAGTGGGCTCCTTGACAGACGCTACCATTTTACTTGGAGTGGGCTCCTTGACAGACGCTACCATTTTACTTGGAGTGGGCTCCTTGACAGACGCTACCATTTTACTTGGAGTGGGCTCCTTGACAGACGCTACCATTTTACTTGGAGTGGGCTCCTTGACAGACGCTACCATTTTACTTGGAGTGGGCTCCTTGACAGACGCTACCATTTTACTTGGACGTGGGCTTGGGCTTGGGAGTTGTTTCCATTGGACCTTGTTTGCTTGGTTCTTTAAGAAGAAGCTCCTTTTTTTCTATCAAAGCTACTTTCTTAGAAACAGACTTCGCGAGGGTCTTCGATATCTGACCACCTCCTTGCTCTTTGCTAACCATTCTGATTTGTTGTTTTCCCTCTTGAGTTCCTTGTGGACTTTCCTTTCTCTGTATGCTTCCAGTGGTTTCTTTCTCCTTCCGAAAAACTGGTTCCAATAGCCGAGGTGAAGATGGTGGTGGTGCAAACTCCATACCTACGATGCGCATCAACTGGAAAGTAGACGATCAGTGTTTTCATCTTGGGATTCGACTCACATTTCAGAACGCGTCTCTCTGCCAGTTCGGCTGCCATCTTCGCGTTCTTGAGAACAATTTTCTTCACCAGCCGCTTCTTCTTCAAAACCTGCTTCTCAGCCAGCGGCAATGTTTCGGACGTCGTAGGAGACACCAAGCGGTCGTCTGTTGCGAGAGGAGCGCTTATTTTTGCTCCAACTGTGGGCGGTTCGGCGGGAACCTTAAGTTGCGGACTAGGCACATCAGGTGTTGACAATTTTTCAGCTTCAACTTTTAGAGGCGATTCTTGCTTTTTTGGGGGAGATTTTGGAATAGCTGGAGGTTCATGGAAGGAAGCGGCGGGTGGTGAAGGTGATAATTCCTGTTTAATTGGAGGAGAGCCTTCTTGTTTGGTATTCACCCAGAAGTAAATACTAGCAGTTTGTGATCCTGTTAATGGATCCACGAACGGCCATGAATGCGGCCTCAACGTTTCGGGGTCATTCAGAGCAATTCTGGCCGTTCGTCCAACAATTTGTCCATTTGATTTTTTAAGGTGAACAACATTGAAGAATTTGGTTTGTATTTTGTCCAAACTGCTTGCTTCACTGAAGTTGTTAACTCAGTATCCCCTCTTGTAAATGATTCACTAAAGGAGAGCTCAGGGAAAACCAACGTCTGAGAGAAGACACAGAAATAGAGGAAAACAATCCAATACAACTACAAAATTTGCCATGAGCTTCATTCTGACCTTGACTTCGTTATCGTCTTCAATGTCGATGGAGCACACGTATTTCATGGTAAGATCAAATGGTGCAACCAAATCACTGGAAGACAAAAGTGAAAAGTGAAGAAAAACGGATTGGAATCAATTCAACTTACTCTATTGTCACAACTTTGATATTTAAAGGAAGCCCTGGTGCGTATTCTACCACATCTGTGAAGAAATGCAGCATCGCATAGACGAAATAACTCTTACCCTTATGCCACACTGGAATTGCGACATCTGCAAAAAATAAACATCAAGCAAGAATAACAGAAAGAAGAAGCACCTTTTGCCTCCAGCTTGCCGTAAAGCGATTCCGGAGACATTTTTTTAAATTTTTCAGATTCATTTTGGTCTTTCGACTCTTTTCCGCTTTTTGGTTTTTTCTCCGAACTTCTTTTTTTCTATTGGAGGAATTCTTGGAAGAGCGTCGATGTCTCTTGTTGCTTCATCCAAATAAATTAAATGCCGTCTCTCCATTCCCTCAAGTTCGTTATATCTTTCCATTTCCCACGCTTTGAGCGTGTCGGTGACTCGAAAGATCCGTTTACGAGGACCACTCTGACAACATCATTGATTGTCTATCAGCCATCATTTCATACCGTCCATTCTATTGCCCCACGACTATGATGCGAACAGAAACAGGGATGTCCATCATAGCAGGGACAAATCGATTCAGTCTTTCCCCTTCCTGCGCGTTTTTCCTCCATCTGCAGCCATCAGACGTCCCGTTCCCCCCCGTTTGCTTCCTTCTTTGTCTTGAGCGTCAGAAAGCGAAGGTTCCCGATGCGGACATGGTAGCGACCCTCGGGTTGTCCACGGGCTTTTCTCTTGGACTCTGGGTTCAACCAACTGATGAGATCTTATCGCTCGATATCGTTGTCCAGTTGAAGCACATTGATGGATTTCTGAAAGCAAAAGTTAATCTGAATCATCCGTTTCCGTACGTTGAATTTGAGGATGAAGCGGGGCAACAGGTTCCAGCAATTCTTCAAGGTCTTGAATTGCATCCACATCTCCCGTTTCAAGCACGAGACCTCCAATGCTTGCAATCGTCTCAGCAAACATATCGGATTCTCTCTGATGCATTTTTTCCAATTGGCGCTTCTCTAATTCTTTTTGTCGATCAGCTGCAACACGCTGAAATGACATCAAGATTGTTTTTGTCTTCATTTCTTCACACACCTCACGCGTCTTCAATGGCTCGCTGGGCTTCTTGATGAGTTCGTTGATCTCTGAAACATTAAATGTACGCGGAAACAAACTCACTCACCATCTGCCACATGATCTCGTTTTAAGACTTCTTCTTGACGAAGTGGTTCTGCTTGAAGGGTTCTCTCCTTCGAAGCTTCCAAGCGTGGTTTTGGCAACTTGCCTCCCTTCCCACTTAGATCAGCAATTATAACTCGACGACCTTCAGCGTCGTACAGTTCGTAGTTTTCATCGAGATAGAGCGGATATTGGAATCCTGTGAGGCGTTGCATCGGAAGCGCGCTTGAAATGTTGGGAGACGCTGTGACTGCAAGAATAAATAAAATGCATCCGAGACGAATCGTACCCTCGTTTGCATGCGTTGCCGTTGGTTGAGCGACAGATCTGTCTTTAGCGTCTGGAAAATATTCAGAAATACCAAGTTGTGAATTTTGTGAGTAGTCAGGAACAAACTGACCTGGCTGCGACATTCTATAGATGAAGAAACAGTTTTTCTTTCGGCATCACTAGGAATTAAATTAGTGAAACATTCGAAGAGTTACAATAGATCGGTTACAGTCCAAATTTATCACTCGACACGGAAATCTTCGTGATCAAGTGGTTGTGGGGCAGCGGCACATGGTGTCTCGATCTCTTATTTCTTTGTGTCGCATGTATTGCATAAAACATTGAAGATGGCATCAAGACGTGAGAGCGGCGGTGAGAATACTGGCGAGAATGAAAATACTGGCGAGAATGAAAATACTGGGGCGAATGAAACTACTGGAACGGAGGAAGAAACAAGTCCCCTCATTGAAGCCGCCCCTGCTTCGTGGTGGACCCGGCTGACGGGTGAAACAGCAATAAGATCTATGATCGGTCTGGGCCTCATAATCACAACTCTTTATGTCATATTGACTCCATATCGGTACATTATGTTCATCCCAATGCTTCTTCTCTGTGTCCTTGGAATTTTTGCGGTTAGGCCAACATTCAAAATCACTCGTCTCGTCTTTATTGGGGCAATAATTGCCGCAGGAATCGGATTCTTGTCTGCTGCTATCTTTGCGTTCACTGCTGCTGTTTCGCCGGCGTCTATCTTGTACACAACTCTCATTTTTATGGGTGGTTCACCACAATCGATTGGGTTCGGAGGAGTTCTCACAGCAATTCTGTGCTTCATCATTGCCGGTGCAATGATGAGACTGATTTACATCTACAGATGGAACCGTAAATGCATGCGACAAGGGCTGAACGACGAAATGGAGCCATTAGATGATGACGAGAGCAAGGATCGCGTTTAGTGCATTCTGTAGCCCCCCCTCCTCCTGAAGAGCAGGAGGCAGATTTTTACTGCTTTTCACGCGTCGAGGTGACTTCGACATCAACACGCAAATGAACCCCATGGTGCATCTTTTTGATAATTTACTTTCTGAAAAAATGAGTCGGGAGCCCTCATGCAAGCAGCAACCCACAAAATGTCGAAAGACGGAGGAGCTCCGATTATTGGATGCAATCGAAGCGATGGAGGAAGGCGTGAAAGAAGCGAAGATGGAAGTAACAGCAGGATTCGAAAAAGAGAAACAGTGTTGGCGGTGGATGCTGACGTATTTTCAGAGAGGACCTGGGGCAAGCGATAGCCCACACGACCAAAGAGTGGGTCCAATGAAGATAATTTTGCGAATACAAGCAGAAACAGAGATCGTAAGCAAATGTGATCATCCATCTGTCACTCACTTTGTCAAGGAGGAATAGACTCCAGTGAAAGGGAGAGGCCAAAAAATGCATCAAATTTTGAATACAACAAATAAAGTTTAATGGTTCATTTGGACGAACCATTCAACATGGATGAATTTATGCACGACATTTTTACACTTCTCAAAAAAAAAGCATAGTTTTTTTTGCTATCCGTCGACTTCGAGTGATGGGACCACGAGCAAAGCAAGCGCAAGCAACAAAACAGGAGCAACTCTCCGCGGTGCAATCGCTTTGCATGCTCAAGAATTCCATCAAGACAGCAATTAGCTCCATCAGTAGGCCTCAAAGGAACATGCTAGACATTACCGCCTTTTCCGCTTAGCATATTTGAGGAAACTTGTTTGAGGAAGACGCTTATGAAGACAAGGTAATTTCTGACCTACCGCTGAAGATCTTGCGCCCGTTCAACGCTGAAGCAGAAGTAAGCACAAAGGACCAGACTCCGGTAACAGCGGACCACTATTGCAGCTTGTCCTTTCATGGCTGGATCGTGGCGTCTTCGACGCACTGGAAAAGAAGTATCTCCGCCTTCTTTTATTTGCCATCCATGATGACAAAGACGAATTGCTTGAGGTGATGCCCTTTCATATTCTGCGTACGGTATCGGTTTCGATGTAGTGCTACAACTTTCAATTCGCGTATGGAGGCGAGAACCAATCCACTCAAATTGATATCACGAATACCTTTGGAAGGAAATCGCAGCGTTTAATCGAGCAGAAAAGCACATGCACTAAATCATCCGCGAAAGATCAAACTCTCCAGCTTCTCCGAAGCGTAAGCTCGAATTTGAATTCCTATTGATTCTTTTGTCTCTCTCAGCTTATTTTAATCACGCAAGATCTAGCGCCTTTACCTGAAGCTCGATATATTTCAATGAAATTATGGTAATCATGAAAATCTGGTCTTCTCTCGATGGACACAACGCCAGGTATTATGAAGACAAAGTCCCCACCGATTATGAGCCTGAACTGTTTCGAGCTCCGTTGCCTGAAGAAAGTATTTTCAAGTTTGGAGAAGTCCCTGCTGAAATTCATGTTGGACGCATCGATACGGGTCACCATGCGCTAGAGGTGAAAGTCAAGACTACAATAGATGTGTCCCAAATGTCCCAAGAACAAAATACGGAAATGAGGGAGGGGGGAACTCCACCAACAGCGGATGAGGAGGATGGCTTAATGTCTCCACATGTCCCAAATGAAGCAGTTCTGATACATCGATCAGCTGAAGACGATGAACTGCAATTGCTTGTTGGAAGGGCGCTGGAGCTTTGCACGAATTGTAGCCCTCATCAAAACTGCAGTAGGTCCCGCGTGCACACTCTGTATGTGGCTGATGGAAGAATTCGTAGGCCTTGAAGGATTTTCTTGGAATCGATAACGTCAAAATGGTGAAACGAGTCATTGAGTGCATGGTAGAGAGGGGGATCCTTGACAAGTAATTGTGGCTTACTGAGTAGAAATCATGGCTTCTTGATCTAGATATTTGAACAAGCGGAAGGGTTGGCCGGTTATCGGAATTGAGCGACAGAATGGACGTTCAAGTTTTTCAGGGCACTCGTCAATTCGTCTCCGATAATTTTTTTTCCTGAGTTCCGATGCGATACCAACAAGTTGACAATAAAAACCCCAGTTGGAATTGGACAGAGTGGAATCATAGGAAGAGGAAATAGAGAGACGACAACATGAGTTTGGAGTATGACGATATGGAACTGGCTCTCAAGTATTCGTCTCACTGATTAGGATGAAGCTTTCACTAAAACAGATTTGTTTAAAGTTTAAAAGAAGATTGAATGAAATGAAAGAATCTGCTCGAGTCGGTACTAGATGCAATCCAAACATTCAGTCTCTTTCTTCAAGTTGATCTTTTCCATCGATTTTAATTTCGTTCCAGCAGAGAATCCATGGCCCTAAAATTCGTCTTGGGGTTCTTAGACTACGTCATGTAGGAAATTCAGGGCCAGTCCTACATAATGTTCAGGCTTCTCTGTGAGGGCGTTTTTCCCCGAATCTTCGAGCGACATTTGCCTTCATAGCGAGCAATTTTTCTCAGGGCCTGTCCCAACAATCGTTTCATCGTGGTGATCGACTCCTCAGTATGAAGAATCCTTTGACTTCTATTGAAACGCCGTCTTCTCAATTCCCTGAGAGGATTATCCCTCTTCCTCCTGATTATGATAAAATTAAAGATGTTGTATGGAGAATGCAAGCAAACGTAAGCCTCGAAAATTGATCTGTTATGCTTCTTCTTTTTAGAACGCTGGTAAAATCTCACAAGATCAAGAAATCTCACAAGATCAAGAAATCTCACAAGATCAAGAAATCTCACAAGATCAAGAAATCTCACAAGATCAAGAAATCTCACAAGATCAAGAAATCTCACAAGATCAAGAAATCTCACAAGATCAAGAAATCTCACAAGATCAAGAAATCTCACAAGATCAAGAAATCTCACAAGATCAAGAAATCTCACAAGATCAAGAAATCTCACAAGATCAAGAAATCTCACAAGATCAAGAAATCTCACAAGATCAAGAAATCTCACAAGATCAAGAAATCTCACAAGATCAAGAAATCTCACAAGATCAAGAAATCTCACAAGATCAAGAAATCTCACAAGATCAAGAAATCTCACAAGATCAAGAAATCTCACAAGATCAAGAAATCTCACAAGATCAAGAAATCTCACAAGATCAAGAAATCTCACAAGATCAAGAAATCTCACAAGATCAAGAAATCTCACAAGATCAAGAAATCTCACAATATATAGCAGATTCAAGAAGCAGCCCAGAGGAAGCAAAAGCGGCACGTTCTTGTTTCCTGGCGTCTTTCATTGAATTTTTTAGGTCACGGAAGGCCTGGTTATGTCTGGCGCCATTGCTTCTATCTCCCCACCGTCGGAGTAAGCCTTGGTATTATCCAGTAACAATAACATTCTACAGTCGCATTCTTCATCACTGTTGCGCTTTGTCGCCTGTGCAGTGAGAAACTGACTGAGAAAGAGGAACCGACGGAGGATACAAGTCTTGGTGGAGGGATCTTCTGTAGGCCGACGAAATTGTGGGCTATTAGAGCTCTTGTTCTCTCAGATCGAGCAAAGAAACGCTTCTTGAAATTTGCCTGCATTTAAGGGGTGCTGCAAAGGACGACGCGGGTCGAACAGCTTTGGTTGACTTTCTAACTACTGCCGATCCATCTGAGAAGGAGCAAAAAGAAAGGAGTGCTCCGACATTTCTTCTCCTACAGAAGTATTTGGCGACTCTCGTAACTGATCATTCACTCGAGAAAGCCTTCTTTCAAGATGATCACTTCGGTGGGAGGAAGTGAGTCGAGAATTTTGTGCAACTAATGAGTCTCATTAGCGTTCCATCTATAAAGGGACCTCAAACTCAATTGGCGAAGAAAGATACTTCTGGAGCAGAAGAGAAAAAGAAAGATACTTCTGGAGCAGAAGAGAAAAATGTCGTAGGTGGTGCTCTAGCGTTCTCTTTCGTACGGACTCTCTCAGAAGCGAGAAAACTCTGATGGCCGTAGATGCAATTCTATCCCACGGACGCAGAATCAAAGAAACAATGGAGAAGAAGGATGATACGGCGGAGAAGGATGATACAAAGAAGTGTCTATGTTGGCTGATCGATAGCGTCATCAAACCTAAGGGGACTCCACTTGAAAAACCTGAGGAGACTGTCCTTTTTGGAGATGTCCAAGATATCCTTCTAAATCTTTGAAGAACTTTGTTTTGTGAGCGTGACCTCAGTTTCAGGGAGGACGCTGAAGCTATTTTATTAGCCTTTGCTAATATAGTCACCGAGAAGTATATTTACATGGACCACATCATGTGAGCGTCGAAATTGTAGCTTCAAACAATTATGCAATTGGCGGCTGATTGTTCTGTTAGTGACGGTTGGCCAGAGCTTCTTTTTCCGAGTGCCAATTATTCAATCCTTTATTCATTGAGTCACATGGACGCTGAGATGGTTGGCAAAGCCGTATTATACTCTAAAAGGAGACCGGGTTGATAGTAAACGAGCAGCTTTCGGGAAAATGTGCTCCATGGCAAAGCTAAAGAAGTCATCCAAAAAGATGGTTGGTCAAAGTCTATCTATCAAAGGACCGGCGAGTGGAGTGAGACGGCTGACATCGTTGTGCCAAACGTCGGATGAAAAAAACGACCCGACTGGCCAAAGTGGAATGTATCTGTTGGCTCACCCAACAACGTCATCAGC